TAGTTTACATTCCCACCAACACTATAAAAGTGTTTCCTTTTTACCACATCCATGCTAACATCTATTATTTTTTATTATTATTATTTTTTTTTTTTGAGACGGAGTCTCGCTCTGTCACCCAGGCTGGAGTGCAGTGACCGGATCTCGGCTCACTGCAAGCTCTGCCTCCCAGGTTCACGCCATTCTCCTGCTTCAGCCTCCTGAGTAGCTGGGACTACAGGTGCCCGCCACCATGCCCGGCTAGTTTTTTGTTTTGTTTTGGTTTGTTTTTTTTTGTATTTTTTTAGTAGAGATGGGGTTTCACCGTGTTAGCCAGGATGGTCTCGATCTCCCGACCTCGTGATCCACCCATCTCGGCCTCCCAAAGTGCTGGGATTACAGACTTGAGTCACTGCACCCGGCCTTATTTTTTTAATTATGGCTGTTCTCACAGGAGTAAGGTATTATCTCATTGTAGTTTTAATTCGCATTTCCCTGATAATGAGTGATGCTGAGCAGTTTTCATATGTTTGTGGGCTGTTTGTAATACCTTCTGTTGAAAGAATTGTCTATTCATGTCCTTTGCCTACTTTTTCATTGGATCATTTTTTTTTTTTTCTTGCTGATTTGTTAGAGCTGCTTGGAAATTCTGGATATCAGTCCTTTGTCAGATGCATAGCTTGCAAATATTAAAATAATGGCAAAAACCTCCATTTCTTTTGCACCAACCTTAATATAAGGTGAGCGATGAGGATCCAGTTTCATTTTTCTACATGTGGCTTGCCAGTTTCCCAGCACCATTTATTGACTAGGGTGTCCTTTCCCCATTTTATGTTTTTGTATGTTTTGTGGAAGATCAGTTGATGATTGTGGCATGAGGGCAGAGAGAAAACATGGCTAACAGAGTTTTCCCTACCTACCACAACATGTAGTTCCTTCTAAAAGACCATGTTTTCCTTATTTATTATGTTTTATTTTTGGTTCTGTCTTCCTCACTACAGTAAGCCCTTGGTCTATCTGTTCTCTGATGCATCCCAAGGGCAAAGATCTTTGTCTATCTGGTCTCTGATAAATCCCAGGCACCCAGATTGGTGCCTGGCACATAGTAAGTGCTCAATAAATACCAGTTGAATGTATAACATATTCAGTCTGTCAGGCGCCCTGCTAGGGACTGAGGACAAGATCCCTGCTCTGCTGGGGCTAATCTTCTAGTTGGGAAGAGTCAAACAGGCAAGCAGGCAAATAATTGCAAATCCTGATAGACCATGAAGTTCAAAGAGGACGAAGCAAAGAAAGCATGGGAGGGGAGGAAAGAGGAGAGAAGCTGCTGTGAAGGGGTGAGGAGTTAGGGTAAACCTACGAGATGAGAGGAGTGGGGGGGGGAAAGCACGACCGGCGCAGGGAACTACCTGTCCAATTGTCCTCAGAGTAAAAAGCTTGGCCTATTCCAGCTGGGCGCAGGGGCTCACACCTATAATCCCAGCCCTTTGGGAGGCCGAGATGGGCGGATCATGAGATCAGGAGATTGAGACCATCCTGGCTAACACGGTGAAACCCCGTCTCTACTAAAAATACAAAAACATTAGCCAGGCATAATGGCAGGTGCCTGTAGTCCCAGCTACTTGGGAGGCTGAGGCAGGAGAATGGCGTAAACCTGGGAGGCGGAGCTTGCAGTGAGCCGATATCGGGCCACTGCACTTCAGCCTGGGTGACAGAGTGAGACTCTGTCTTAAACAAACAAAAAAAAGCTTGGCCTATTCCAGAAACAAACAAAAAGGCAAGGGAGCCTCAGGAGATGGTGCAAGGGCTTCTGGGTTTTCGGGGAGTCTGGGGTTTATGCAAAATGTAGTGGGGAGGAGGACTCTTGAGTTTTCAGCTGGGGTGGGGCATGTGGGTGGAAAGCTGGGAGCAAACTACAGTTCAAGGGCCTACTTTGGCCACTGCCTGTTTTTGGAAACACACCCATTAGTTTTCTTTTCAGGAGCTACAAAGGCAGAGTTTAGTGAGTTGGACCAGAGACCAATGGACCACAGCATTGGAAAACCTTTCTGGAAAAGGTCTGCCAGCCTGGTTTTCAGGCGATTATTCAGGGTACAGGTGATCCCTCCCGTTCCCTCACCCCAGGTCCAACCTATACCAGTTCCTGTTGACATCATCTCATCACTTCCCTCCATTCCTAATGCCACCAATCCTGCTTGGAGCCACCATCATCTCACCTGAACAAATGTAATCACCTCCTCATTGGCCTCCCTGTTTCTGTTCATAAGTCTGATGGAGTCATTCTCTGCTCAAAGCCACCAATGCCTCCCCATTGCTCAAAAAACAGACATGCTTTTCACCATGGCCTAGGAGGCCCACCAGCACCCCTTCACCTCTCTGACCTCAGATCCCTCTACTTGCTCTGCCTCACTCCAACCCAGCCTCACTGGCCTCCTAATGTTCCCTAAAAGCACCAAGCACAATCTCCTTGGCACCTGCTGTTCCCTTTGCTCAAAATACTTTTCCCATAGACCCTCCCACAACCCCAGTGACCTTTCCTCAGACAGATTTTCCCTGCCCAGTCAAGGTAAAATGGCAGCCCCATCCCTCCCCCTCGAACTTCCCCCTCCCATTGATTGTTCATCTTTATCACTTGCTGGTTGTTTTTCAGGCTTTATCACTTGCTGACATGATGGTATAGACTTACTTGCTATCTGGCTCCCGCACCAGGAGGTAGGATCCATGAAAGTCGAGGTTTTGTCCCTTTTATTCTCTGCTGTATCCCATAGCATCCTGCCAGCTATAGCGTAGATGCTGATAAAGAAGAACAAATGTATTGAATAAATGCAGGTGTCCAGAGGGGGATCATAATAATTAATAAGATCCACCCGTCATGGTTGTTACGAGGATTAAATGACATCAAGCATGTAAAGAAACTAGAACAGGGTCTGGCACACAGCAAATAATAAATAACAACTATTAGTATTAGCATCATTATTGTTATGTCTTTTGGGTAGATTTTTGAGATCAAGACAACTTTAGCCACCAGCTTTGCCTTATCCCAGCTGGGGTACCCCGAGCAAGTCACTTTACCTCCTGCTCCTTCAGTTTCCTTGTCTGTGAATTGGGCTCGAATCCTCCACACCCAGCAGGCTAAAATTGAAGATCAGCAAAATGCTGATTGGCAAAATGGGATGACAGTGACTCTAAGCAGGATTGGTGGCATAGGGGATGGGGAGAAGTGATGAGATTCAGTAGATGACATCAACGGGAACTGGTATAGATTGGACCAGGGGTGAGGGAGCAGGAAGGGATCACCTGTAGCCGCCATTTCTCCACAAACTAGTTATGATGATGACTTTTTATGCTGTAGCTGTTTTTTCTGTTGTTTTGGGGTTTTTTGGGTTTTGTTTTTTGTTTTGTACATATTGGCAGGGGTCTCTCACTACGTTGCCCAGGCTGATCTCAAACTCCTGGGCTCAAGTGATCCACCTACCTTGGCCTCCCAAAGTGCTGGGATTACGGGCGTGAGTCACTGTACCCGACCATGAAGGTTTTTTGTTTGTTTTGTTTTTTGAGATGGGGTCTTGCTCTGTTGCCCAGGCTGGGGTGCAGTGGCAAGATCTCAGCTCACTGCAACCTCCACCTCCCGGCTTTTAACTGATTCTCCCATTTCAGTCTCACAAGTAGCTGGGATTACAGGGCTGCATCAACACACCTGGTTAATTTTTGTAGTTTTAGTACAGTTGGGGTTTCACCATGTTGGCGAGGCTGGTCTCCAACTCCTGACCTCAAGTGATCCGCCAGCCTCAGCCTCCCAAAGTGCTGGGATTACGGGCTTGAGCTACCACGCCTGGCCTTGGCCATGTAGATTTCTTTCACACCTTCCTTATTCCTTCTTCAGAAACGGAGGCCCCATGAGGGGAAGCTGGTAGCCGAGGGTCTTTTCAGGTACCTGTGGCCAAATTAGGCCCAGATGTTAATGCTCTTATCCACGGCTGAAAAGCCCAAGAAACTAAGAAGAGCTGTGGACGCACAGACTGGCAGAGACACCGAGAGGGCACTGCAACCGCACTGCACAGATGAGCAAAGGGAGGCAACTTCAACATTACCTCCTCCTCTCTAAGCACCTCCAAAAGGCCTGCTCAGGGAGCTCTGGCCACCGTTCTCAGGCAACCGCGTGACGTTTTTACTGACACTGAGGGCTGGAGACGGTCCTCTTTCCAGGCAGCTATGTGTCCATTTCCTAGAGAGGGAAACTGAGTCCCAGAGAAGGTGGATGTGGCTGGAGGCCATGGGTCAGGCACAGGCAGAACCATGCCCTGAATAAACGTCTTGGGACTCTCTGACTTCTTTCCCTCGCATCACAACGGATCCCAGTGCCCATTTGTCACATAAGGAAACTGAGGCTGGGGTCTTCGATGACGCCTGGCGGGGGTCGGGGTCACACACGGAGGGCAAGCCTTCAAGGTCATTCTGACTGATCTTTGAGCCCTCGCAATACAGCACGTGGGCCCAAGACCATTTCCAGCACAAAATGGCGCCTCGTAGAAAAATGTAGCCTGAGTTTCAGCGCCCACCTCCACCCCGGTTCAGAAGAGGGGGCGCGGGCGGCAGCGCACACCTCATTTGCATGTATAAAAAATCAGCGGATTTCATTGGCTGGGAGCGGTTTGACCTGCACGAAACTGGGTCTGTATTGGTCGCTATCCATTCCTGCCCGCCCTCTGACCGGTCTGTCAGCCATTGGCCCATGAGAGTCTCGTGACCCACCAGTCACGAAGGTGTATGCCTATTGGCCCCAGGGCCTTCTATCACGCGTTTAAAACCCCGAGTCCCGCCTCTTCTCGCCACGCTCCACCCTCCAGGAAGACCGTTAGTCGCGTGCGCGACTTCCTCGGCGTCAGGGCGCGCGCGCGCGCGCGTAGGCCGGGCCGTGGCGGCGTCTCATTCAAACGGCCCAATCAGCGGCCGCGTCGCCTTCCCCGTCCCCTTCCTCTCTACCTGTCTCTTATACACATCTAGATGTGTATAAGAGACAGCGCAGGAAGGGGGCCGGGGGGACCCGCCCCCGGCCTGCCGCAGCCATGGTAAGCGCGGACGGTGAGGCCCAAGAGGGTGGTCGGGGGTGTCCCTGAGGGAGGAGGTGGAGTCTCAGGGGCCTCACGATGGGCGGCCTTGAGGGTTTTGAGGGCCAGCCTGGGGGTCCCTGACCCGGGATGGGCCCGAGGGCCTTCCTGCAGGCAGAGCAGGAGCTCGGGCGGCCCCCAGTCTCCCTGGCAGCGAGGGCTCCGGGCGCTTTGCGGCCCGCCCATGGGTGTTACCAGGAGCAAGGACGCCCCGCCGCCATCTCCAGACCTGAGCCGGGGTTTCAAGGATGCTCTAACCAAAAATTAGTGGATAAGGAGGAGAGAGTAGATCTCTGGCCTACATGGAACCACTGGGGCCCAAGCAGGGTTAGGAGCGGGCTTTGGGGGTTTCTGGGGTGGGTGGAGTTATGTGCAAGCCCCCCCGCGGGAACCCGCCCCCATTGCTGTTGGAAACTCTGCCTGGGCTGGTGGCCTGAAGCATTCTGGGTGAGGGTCTGGGAGTTCAAGGGTGATTGACAGCCGGGGGCCACTGAGTCAAGACTTGGGCAGTCTCTGCATCTTTAGGCCCTGAGGGAAGCCCAGCTCTTAACACCCGCTCACCCTGCTCTCCCATCCGTGCCCAGAACTCCAACGTGGAGAACCTGCCCCCGCACATCATCCGCCTGGTGTACAAGGAGGTGACGACACTGACCGCAGACCCACCCGATGGCATCAAGGTCTTTCCCAACGAGGAGGACCTCACCGACCTCCAGGTCACCATCGAGGGCCCTGGTGAGTTTGGAAGGAAAGAGGGAAGGGGCTGCTGCTTAGATCCTCCATCACCCCACCGGGAAGTACCTGTTACAGGCTGGCCTTGTGTCAGGTGCTGGGGATGCAGTCGTGGACAGGGCAGGATGCCACAAATGACAATTATGTACTTTTTTCCCATAAGAGTTGAGAAATACCTGGTCACTGAGTTAGTATATCATGGGACGGTACTCTAGATTTGAAGCAAGGCTTCCCTGGACCTGCGGGTGGGTAGGAATTAAGTAGGAATGGGAATAGAGTTCCAGGTGGTGGGAATGGTGTCAGCAAGGGCCTGGGAGGGTGGGCCAAATGATCTCAAACTCCATCCTGCTGTGAGTGTCAGGGCTGAGGAAACAAGGAGATGCAGATCGTGGGGAGACAGGTCATAAATACCCACAGGCTTTGCGGAGTGATTTAGAATTCTGTTTCATGCAAGCTACATCTCTGTTATCACCAGAATGCCTACAAAGTCGGGATTTGAGCAGAGCCTGTGAAGTGCGAAGGAACAGTCTAGTCCGCTGTGGTGACGGTGGTAGGTGGTCAGGGCAGACCTGAAAGTGGTGACAGTTGAGGGTCCTTCATGCCTTGCTGCAGGGGGCATGGGATCATGAGAATGGGAAGGCTCCCAGGAAGGCCCTGGGGCAGGTGGAGCTGGGTGTGTGGTAAAAACACGTGAAGAAAGTTGATGGTGAAGCTGGCGAGGTCTTTTAGGGCTTCTAGGCCCCTATAAGGAGTTTGTAGAGGAAGCTGGTGGAAGGTTTAAAGCAGGGGTGTGACAGATCCCTCCCAAGTTCCTATCTGACTATAGTGAGGAGAGCCGGCCTGGCAGGGGGAAGGACTCAGAGGTCAGCCAGGAAGCCAGCCTTGGAAATGGGATGAGATTCAGGGGAGGACCTAGTGGGCCATGCTCAGACTGCTGATGGGCTAGCAGAGGGACAGTATTTTGACCCATGCAAGTGGGTGAGCGGGAGAAGCGTTGACTGAGGTGGGAGACTGTGGAGTTGACAGACAGTTGGATCCTTGATCTGAAAGGCATATAAGTGGGCATCTTATAGGAAGATAAGTGCGTACTCGGGTCCCTGCCACCT